TTTTGTGTTTTTTTTATAAAAGAATCTATTTGTGTCTCCACTAATTTTTTTATTCATTTTAGTCTCTCACTTCATTGTTTTACTCTTAAAAAAAATGTAATTTTTTATACAAATCATTTATGTATTAGATATTTTTCATTTTAATCTCTATTATTTAAAAATATTAAACCTATTATTCAGTCTTTATTAATTCAATCATCACCCAAATGTGACTCCTGACGTTAGAGAACAAAATAAAACCAAAAATAATAATAAGAATGCAAATAAAAAAAAATTGAGACGATTAAAACAAAAAATGCATCATAAACAGAAAAAAAAATATTAAACTTTATGGTTATCTCAATTTCTTTGAAAGTACAAATATAATACATAATATTTAACACATGAATTAATTGGCATAAGTTTATTTCAATTTAATCCATAATTTTAAATTTAAATTTTATGAATATATAATTGCGTTAAATATTAAAAAGAAATTAGCTATAAAGCATAATAGTTTTAACTTACTCAAATAATATTATCTCTGCAAATACCTAGCAATAAACAAAAACATAAAGAAAAAATTACAAAACTACTTTTTTCACAAAAGTGCACAGTTGTGTGATCCATCATTTTCTAGCATTTTTTTTAATAAAAGGAACTAAATATTAACTTCTAAAGACATAATTGAAATTTGTGTGTTTGATTATCTAATGGTGAAAGTTAAATTAGATAAGTGTCATGTTCATCCTTTAATTTAGTTGTTGTGGTCCTCTAATATCTTTCACCAGCAATGCATGCATATCACTTCTTGTTTCATTTTTTTCATATCTACTTTCACTTTCTGTAATTTACATTTTACAATGCCAATCCTCTGAATTTTGGGTTTGCTGCGTGTAATCTCTTAGGTAAAAGTTACACGGTATTCTTAAAATAATGCAAAAATTAAAAAACAAATAATACTTTTTTGTCCATTTATTTTTATTAGTTTATAATTTTGATTATTCTATTTTAAAATAAAGAAATTTAATCTTTCTAATTTTAAAAATATAAGATATTTATTAATCGTTAAATTTAAAGTTTATTCATACTTTTTAAAAAGCATGTTTACTAATATTTAAGTAATGTGACATTAATTTTGAAAATAAAAAATGTAAATAAGGTTTTTATTAATAAAATAAATACTAATTAGTTGTTAAAATTAATATAAATAAAGATTTTTTTATGTTATTTTTTAATTGTTATTTCTATATGTTACATTATTAAATATCACGTTATTTAAGTGATGATAAATCAGATGATGTCGTTAAAATTTAATAATTAACAAACATTAAGATGATAGTGAAACTAAAATTTTGTATTTTAAAAAATAAAATCTATTTAAATATAAGTTTAGAAGTTATTTTGAGAGATTTTATACCAAAAAAATACTCTTTATTTTGAGTGGATAAACCCTCAAAAGCTCTTCTAACTTTTATTCAAATAGGTTTTAAATATCCATATTTTAAAATAGAGACTAAAATTGCATATTGTAAAAATCAGAGCAGTTAAAAATACAAGTTAGTCAAATTAAAATTTAATTTTGTATGATATAAAATTAACTATTAAATGTATATACTTAAATTTAAAGATTCTTTTATTAATTGATAAAATGCTAGTTTATTCAATCTTTCTTGATATATATTTAAAAAAAAATAAGATTTATTAATTTTAATTTTGAAAAGTTCTAAAATTAAGTGACCAGCGACTAACTGATAATAATGATCATTCATGTATGAATATATATGGTTCAGATTTATAATTTATATTTTTTACATTAATTAACTGTTCTCACTAGAGTTAACACATGGGCTTATAGCTCAAAGAAGATATTGTCTAATAATTTTTTTTATTGCATTCTTTATCATTGCGTTTTTCATAAGAGCGCTATCATTGTAATTTTTTGCATTATAAACATTAATGAATAATGATTAGGTGACTGACCTCTCTTAATTTTCATTCTTTATATCAATATATATATATATATATATTTTATTTTTTTTTAAGGGTGGGAATTATGACGAACCATAGTCACATGTCTCTCTGTTCTTTTTTATAAGGCCATGCCATATCACATACACAAGTTTTTAATTCCATTTACAATAACTAAGAAACTCAACCAAGTTAGAAATAAAGCGGGTTATTAAAAATATTATTTATATTTTTCACATTGAAAGTACTAATTCGGATTTATAAGCTCTAACTACAACTTAAATTCTCTCTTACTTTAACAATTTAAAGTGCAAGTCACATTATGAAAATAGCATAACCTTTCTGGTAAATAATTTAGAATTTGGTGCACATAAACTTAGGTCCTACAATTTTATCTTATGCCTAAGAGCCAAAATTGCATCATGTATTTCTTACAAAATTGGAAAACCATGTAGGCCTAATCAAGTGCCTGGAATGACGCTAATAACAGAATTTATATGGATATATGCCTATTCAAGAGTCAAGACTCAAGACTCCTGAGGAGGGTCAAAGGGTAACAGCACCATTATATTTATTTCTCCATGTGGTCTGTGACAATATAGGTATGTTATGCACAATAAATGTCACCTTGACCAAATATGCATTAGGAATTTTTTTAACTAAATCAAATTATCCATGACTCAAATAAACATGTAGAATTTATATAGGAACACGTGAATCAATTAGTGTGGAGCTATTTTAGTTTAAACAACGGTCTTTATATGCAGATGCATTAAACACTCGGAAGAAAAGTTTTATTGTTCATAATAATCTTGTTAGACTATAATATAATTATGTCTGATGAAAGATAATAATAGTGTAAACCAAAAACATGCTGAATTTCTGATTGTGATCGTTTGGTATGTTTAGTGATACCTACAAGGGAGAGAATATCACAAGATAAATTATACGCTTGGTACGTTATGCAAAATTGTTATTAAGAAATCAAAAGAAGACAACAAAAGGGTCACGATAAATAGCAAAACATAATGAATTAAGTTGCTTAGAATTAACATTAACTTGATTGACATTTATGAAATGCAGCATTAATAAGGCCAACACAGAAAGGGACAGAACACCAGAAAAACTCCCCCAAAAGCGATCCATTTAATTCTGGTAGACCTTTGAACTTTGAACATTACTTTGAGGGACTATATATATATATATATATAAAATCCAAATCCCTTCATTTTAGGAACATCAATCCCTACACTACAGCTGTTTCCCAAGCTCCCCCATCATTGTCTTGTATTTTAACATAAAACATAGCCACACCTTGTGTTTGTTTGTCATTGCTCTATATGTCTATTAAGGTTTCTGTGTCAAACATGATGATGGATGTCTCCTTTTCCAACGAGTTCTGCTACATGAGTGCTACTAGTTTCAGCCAAGAGATGTGCTTCTACAGTGCACCAACTAGTCCTAGCGGGCTCAAACTAAGACCAGTTTCACCCTTTGGTTCTCGAACAGGCCCCACAACACCAAGAGCAACAACACATGAGGATGCAAACTCCAATGTGGATGAGTTTGAATTCGAAACCAGCCGCAGATTCAATGTTAGTGTCCGTGACCTGGACACTGAAACAAACCAAAAGGACCATGAGAACCAGCAAGAGAAGCAAAGGCTTTGTGGGGGGGATTCTTTGCAGACTATGGCATTTGCTGATGAGCTATTCTGTGATGGTAAAGTCTTGCCACTGATGCAATTGCCACCTCTCAAACTCCCTCCAAGGCTGCATCAGAGTGGAGATGGCAGCATTGTCAGCACTCACAGCTCAACACTGACGTCTCCAAGGTCCCCTGGATCGGTGCTAAGGCTTCAATTTTCGCGGCATAGTTTGTGGAATGATGACTTTGATCCCTTCATGGTGGCTTTGGAGAAGGTAAGAGAAGAGAAGAGAGGGAAACCAAGTGCAAGGCATGGTCTCAGGAGGACTAGATCACTCTCTCCATTCAGGGGTTTCAACCACAAGTCTGAAAAAAATGTGAAAGTATCAAAGTCAAGTCAACAACCTGAGTCAAATTGCTGTGACACTGCTCAGCTAGTGTGTGAGCTTGAGAAAGGGTCATTGAAACAAATGTCAGGAAGAATAAATGGTCTGTCTGAGCCCAAAGGGTTGGTGTTTGAAAGACAGGTGAGACTAGTGGGATTGAGCAATGAAACAACCTCGGAGAGGACCTCAGTTTCGAAAGTTGAAATGGAAACAAAGAAAGATGAGGGGAAAAGAGGTGGTTTTTGGACAAGGAGTAAGAAGAGAGAAAATATAAAGAAGTTTCTCTTTGGTAACATGGGGAAAGACTATACTCATCACAAGTTAGAAGATAAAATGGTGGCACAGGAGACAACACCCTTGGTGAGGAAACTTGACATGAAATCTGTGACTTCAACAGAATCAACCCAATGGGATAAATATCCAAGAACAGGTGAGTTGACCAAAATGAGATTGGTATGTCACAGGCCATTGCCAAGACTTTTTCTCTGCTTGGGTTATGAGGGAGGGAAAGTGAAGTGATTGAGTGACACAATGTCTAGGTAGAATTTAGAAGTTAGCTGGAATGAATGATGAAGATTACAATTTTAAATTCGTTCTATTTGTGTAATAGTGTTGCTGTGATGCTGTCTTTACCAGTTTATCCTATCTGATGGGAAACATATGATAGCAATGCTTTTTAGAAATTTGTTATTTATATTGTCTAGAAAATTTCCAACCTGAATTGGCATATCAATTTCCCTAACAATATCTTTAACTCCCTTTAATAGCCTTTTATTTTCCTTGCACCAAAGGATTCTTAAATGTACATTCATATTTTTGGGCAAACAAAACACTGAATGGTAATTAGGTGCATCAGCATGAGTGCTGCTTATCATTGGGGTTATAGACCTCAATCATAAATTATAGCCAAAAAGGAAAATCAGTTCGCGCATGTATATAATACTTCTTACATCATTTGGTACGGAAGTTGTATTGCTATGAGATTTCATCGCTTACTAATTTGAAAAAAATCAGATAGATTTTAATCATTCTATATATTGTGGAATGAATATTCTAAGCCATCAGTGCATAAATGAGTAATTTACATTGATTGAAATCAAAGGCTAAACTTTAGCATGAAAAAATGTGATAATTAAAAGGGGGAAAGTAAATAGGATAGCCTCAAACGCTTATTTGGCTGGATGAGGATCCAATTCTATGCCCCCTTTTCTCTAATGCAGAAGAACCTGCCCCTGCCAATGCTTAACAAGAATACTAGTCTTGACATAATGCTATGTGGAAAATTATATCTTGATTAATCCAAGATTTCAGAAGGCCATAGGCTTTTCCAAAGGGAAATCTCGGCATCAGTCTTTATCTTTCTGATTCCTCCATAAAAGCCATCTGCTTCATTTCCCTCCTCTCTATGATCTTTCCTACTGATAGTTGTCCTCCTCCAACGTGAGTCAGGAGTGTACTGATTGAACTCTAGCACCACTGTGTCTGCAACCAACACATAATGCAGTGTCAAATAAACCATCTTTGAATCCTAAGAGAGGAAAAGGAAATACACAAAGCCTAATGCCAAGACTCAAAAAATTGACACGTTCAGTTTTTACTTCGGCAGAATTTATAATTTTTCAATATTCATGGAAAACAGCTTTTGATGGTATGACTGCAGGGTCCACAACATCACAGAGTCCACATAGAGTAATAAGATAAAAATAGACAGGAACATGTGTAAAAACTGCTATCATGCTTACACAAAGTGATGAAAGAATATGGCAATAGAGTCTATCACAAATTAGTGCTTTTTATTATTCTTCTGAAATGGAACATCAACCCAGGAAGCTAAGCAAAAGTTGTGGATTATTCTGGGCATAACTACCAATATTAGAAAATGGAAGTAAACTTTTGAAGCTTATAGCGACCGTGGTATCCCCACAATACATAACAAAAGGAAAACAGAACAAACAAGAGAAATTGGTTTTCTTTTTTATTTTAACGTAGTTGGCCATAAATGTATCCACTGAGACACAAGTTATCAATGTGTTGGTGGAATTATGACATGCGGACCATGATATGTCTAGGGGACCAATCATATATCATAGATGGTGGTCCAATTTTTGATACAATTATCAGGAAAGGAACCTAACCCAAATTGTGGTCTGGTCTGCCAAAGTGAACTTAAAACATTTATGTAATTTTTTTCACCATTACAATGAAAAACATAATAATGGTAAATAGAAAATTTTTAAAATATTTAATCCATAAAACAGTATATTTCAACCTTCACTCAATTCCTTGTCTTCAAAATTCCAGAGCATTATCTTTTATCTCTCTCCATTTTTGCATATTTATACACATAATTCATCTGAATCCTACAATCATTCCCTAAATCATATCCTGCTTGCATTGATCCACTAGACAATTTTACTCAGAACATAGTTCAACTTGAAGAGAGGAACAGAACATGGATTAAATGAATGATAAAAAAGTAAAAACTACAGCCAATAAAATATAATGAATGATACATACAACATATTCGTTTAAAAGGAAAATACATCAACTCACCACTACTATGACAACGGCAGTAAATTTCATTCCCATCACACAACTCCAAGTGGCCTACAACACCATACCACCAACCTGCCATAAAGGTGCATTTCATCATGCTACAGTCAGAATCTCATCACAAGAAAGGGTAGATAGATATAAATGAAAATGCATAACTAAGATTGGAGAAGTAATTATTTTTATCACTCAAAATTGGATCCCACTGCACTCTTTCCGT